TTCCATGATAAGTGTGTGCATTTACTTCAATCACTTCTAGAATTGTTAAAATTTCAGAGATTGTTTCAGAGTTTCTGTTTTAACATGGTACTTCCTTTTATTCATTATTGTGATTACATAAACTTTGCACCTCTCTTGCTTAAAGAGATTTTACTAAAATAATTTTAATAATTGTTGTATGCAATTGTATGCAATATATTTGCATGAATTGCCTCATGAATTTGAAATTCCAGAAGCAATAACTCTGTTAACTTAAATGCTTTAAACTGGCTCTCAATATGTGAAAACTATTTAAGGCTAAATTAGTTTCAATATAAAACTCTTTGTAAATAGCCTACAGTATTTGTGAGTTCTGGAACTAGTACCAAACATTATTCCTTCTGTGCCTTCAAAAAAGACTGTGGCTTTTGTTTATTTTTATGTACATGATAATACATATCAAAGAAAAAAATTAAATATTAAAGGTATTAAAAGTAATGAAGACGAAGATAATTAAACATCTAATATCTCTGAACCACGTATGAGTCATGGAATTTCTCATTCATAAAGTCATATTGTAGGCTTCCACCTTGAATAGGAAGAGAAATATGACTAAAAAGATATCTTTATTTTAGAGACGAGACATTGATTTTCTGGAGCAGGGGTTGGCAAACTAAAGCCTGTGGCAAAGGGCTTACCGCCTGTTTTTATAAATAAAGTTTTATTAGAACACCACACTCATTTGTTTATGTGTTCAGCGCGGCTGCTTTCATACTACAGTGTCAGAGTTGAATAGCTGCACAGAGATTGTCTGGTTTGCAAAGCTTAAAATACTCACTAACTGGCCATTTAGAGAAAAATGTTGCCAAGCCATGCATGCCTAAATGGGCTTCCTCAAAAGGAGGAGATCATATATAATGGTCCCCGAGACTTAAGATGCTAAAAACCAAATTATTAGCATCACCATTATTCTCTTAAGTGGGAGAGAAAGATTTGGAGTATAATTCTCAATTTTTCAAAAGATCCTGATGTTCTACTCATAATATTTTGGACTACTAGATAAGAACTACTGTGACATTTTATTTTATGAATATAGACTGTGTGCACAAATTATACAGTTGAAAATGTATGTTTTAATAAAAACTTATTTAGGGATATATAATAAAGATAAATAGCTGTATAGCTACATAGCAGAGAAAGCAGACAGCAGCGATGCTTGGCACAAGTTGATGGCTTAGATGATAGCCAGAGAAATGATGTGATTAGAAGAGCAAAGATGAGGATGGAGACCTAACAGGTAAGCTCTCTACCTTATTAGAGGTTGGGGCCAACAGTCCACTTTTCTTTTACTGTTTACTTTCATTTACTGTTACACACAAATGTGAGCGGAGAAACAATTTTTAGAAAGAAGGAACAGCTCCACCAACTGTTTCCATCTCAGGATTTCTTACAGCTCACTCTTATCATGCTCTTATCTATATGGAATTTCAGAAAGTTTCCTCAACCTTCACACCATTGGCAAGCACAGAGTCCTTGGAAGCTATACCTTTACCCTCCCTCTTCATATCTATTTTTTTTCTGTACCTTGGGTGGAGTAAAAATAATCATCATCTTTGAAATACCTCTGACTTTGTACTTGTGAATAAATCACCTTAGGGCACAACTGTCTGCTATGGTGATCAAGAAGAACCTTAATTAAGGTTTGGAAATTCAAATGCAGCACATGGTTCTCTAATTCTTTCCCACCAGCTACTATAAAACACATCGACATTTTCATGATAACATTTGTATTGTACTTAACAGTTTCTAGACCAGCTTTATAATATCCTAACTTATTATGAGTTGCTTTAATGAGCACAAACACTTTCCCCAACACCAGATTAGGCCTATGACCTGCACTTTGCAGAGTAGGAAACAGAGGCTCCACAGAGTTCAGTGAGGTTCCCCAGGCTGCACAAGTCAGGACCAAATAAAACATATTTGACTTGTAATCCTGTGCTTTTGACTATGTCATGTGGCCTCCCAGGAGTCCAGAAAAACAAACTGTGATAAACCAATGTTTCAGGATACACTATGCTACAGACTGAATTATGTCCTCCCGCTACACCTCAAAATTCAAATGTTGAAACCTTAATCCTTAAAGTGACTATATTTGGAGGTGAGGCTCATACGGCAGTAATTAAGGTTAAATGAAGTCATAAGGGCAAGGCCCTGAAATGATAGGATTGGTGTTCTTATAAGAAGACACAACAGAGAGCTCACTTCTTCTCTCTTTCTATTGTGTAAGGACACAAGAAGACCGAGGGTCTACAACCTCTGGAAGAGAGCTTTCCCTAGGAAGCAAATCAATAAGCACCTTGAGCTTGAACTTCCCAGTCTCCAGAACTGGAAGATATAAATTTCTGTTGTTTGAGCCACCCCATCTGTGCTATTTTGTTACACCAGCCTGAGCAGACTAAAATACATTATTAAAATTAACATTAAGTGAGGAAACTTCTGGGGGAAAAATATATAGTATTTTTTTTCTATAGCACAATCTAAACTGTATAATAATATGAACTCAAAATACTGGAAAAATAAAAAAGGACCAGTGGTGAAATTTCTTCTTGTGATTGCTCTGAAACCCCCTATCCAAGACATAGAACCCTGAAGACAGTATTAAAATAGTGGCTGGAGAGTTAAGTGTCTGTAAGTGTCTCTGAAAAACAGAAATTTTGGGGTTTCAGCAGATAAAACACAAATGTTTATATTGTCTAAAATGCCTAAGCCAACTTTGGCGAGCTGTACCTGAGGGTAACGAGTGTGGGGAAACAACCCCTGAATTCCAGGAGGTGGCTGGTACTATCGATGAGGTCTTGGTGTTCATAAACAATTTGGACACAAACAATTTCATGGAATATCAACACCAGACAAGGTCGCTCTGACTGTGGTAGATCAAGACAAACACAACACAGCTTCATAATCATGTCTGAGCACAGACAAAACACGATCATGGATCAGATCACAAAATGCCTGACATGAACATTAGCCCTTTGGTACTAATACAAGGGACTACCACTGCTTTACCCGTTACAGTCTGCCTTCTGTATAGATAAGAACGATTGTGATACTTAATCATAGAATTATTCCTGCTTCCTGATAGCATACCATCTGGACCAAAGCCCTTCTTTCTTAAACACTTCAAAATCACCCAGCACAAGCTCAAATCTTTTCTGATGCCCGAGACACTCCAAGGCTCCCCATTTTGTCCCTGCAGCAAGCAATAAACCTTATGTGTTCTACTACAGGTATATTTTTAGGGGCTTAGGCTGGAGGGCACTAACTAAAGGCAGCTGGGATAATGTGGCCCTGACTTACCCTTTTCCCATTTTGTTTTTCTCAAAAGAACCCCATGGTGAACATATTTTTTAAATTAGTAAAGCTTGGAATTCCAACACTTACAATCCCCGTTTGTCAAAATTCCTTCTGCTTTTCCTTCCGTTTTCAAGTGAGACAGAAATCAGACTCAAATATATCAAGGGAATTAATCACACTTTGAATTTCAAAGAATTGTAAGGCTCCCTACATAGATATAGCAACTCTCACTGCTAGCTGTTAACTAAGTAAGTGACATCCAATGTGAAGTTTTCTGTTAATTGAAAGCATTGTCATTTTTGTCTGTCCGGCACCCCTTTTCCACTCTTCTCTCTCTTCTAACGGAACTTTTTTTTTCTTGCAGAGAAATCACTAAAGGTGGTGTGTGCAGGGTTCACACACTTATTCCTACAACAGGGGTGACATGTGATCTTAGTCTGGCCAATCAGAAGACCTTGTACCTCTTGCCACAGTGATTGGTTCAGGGAAGGGAGGTAACTCAGGCCTAGCCAATCCTGGGGCTGTTCTCCTGCTACTATGGAAATATGATTTATTTAGGCCATGTGCCAAGCTGCTGGCATGTAGATGGGTGACCACCAAGGGCCATCCTAGCTACCACATAGAAAAAGTCTGTCTAAAAAGACAAAAACAGAGAGCTGACATCATTTGAGATCCCAGATTCAGCAATGCCTGAAGCCAGCAACACTTTTGAATTTCCCAGTTATAAGCCAAAAAATTAATATTTTTATCCTTAATGAGTTTGAGTTGAATCTCTGTTTATTTACAAACAAAAGAGACAGGACCAAATATACTTTCAAGTTCGCTAACTGATTCAGTCCAATTTGTCTATTCAGCATTACCACATTGTTTTACGTATCAGTAGCCTCCTGTAATTGGGGATGGGTAGTGGCCATATGTTCTCCTCATCTCAAGTAAACGTGTTGCTAGGTGGTATGTAGCCATGAAAGCGAGTATAATACCAAATTCTGGTAAATCTATAAACACTTATTAGCAAGAAGGCACAGAAGGAATAAAAGAACCTGTTCTCGTCCACCCAGGGAAGCCCACACTCTCTTCTGACAAGTGTCTTGCATGGCAGAGTCACTAGAAAGTGGACACAATGATATTCTGACAGCAGAGCAGCTGATTTTTAATAAGAATCCTTTGTGAAGTGAGGAGGCCAGGACCAAACACCAAACTGAGCTTTGGACTTCATATGCTGCTTCAAAGGTGCCAGATTGCTGGGCTTCCTTCAAGAGTCGTGGTGTCTACAAAGTCCTCCTAACCCACCACTTATCTTCAACACCACTCATTTAACCAATTAAAAATCAATTATCAGTATGCTAATTTATGACATATATTATGCTAAATCATGATATAATTTATAATATCATTATGTTAATTTGTTAATCCAACCGTGGACTGTAAATTTCCATCTAGAAACATTCCAAAGCTAACTATCGCCAAAGCACAAGTTTCTGACAAGGGGACTTCAAATGCTAACTAACCACCCCTATGGTGCAGATTAAAATTAATTTACATATGCATACATCCCATTGTTCACACAGAGAATAAAACACATACCAAACTTGAAAATTATTGAAAAGTGAATAAATCCAACATATTATCTAGAAAATTTTTCATATATTCTGAGTCTTTGAGCATACCACAAAAATGGGATCATTGGCAGCAGAATGTGGCAAAGCACTTGTCCCGTTCAGGAAGGAATGAACCAAATTATGAAGGCTCATCGCTTGAGAGTCCAAGGTCCCGTCTGCTTTATCAAATCCTTCCAGGGCGTTCCTAAGAGAAATCGGTATATCAACAACAGTCACAAATTGACAAAGGTCTTTTTGTTCGTTTTAGCCTCAATATTAGACTTCTAATTTGAGATTGGGTAGGGAAATGAGAAGCTCTGTTATGGTTCATTGACTAAGAATTAGCCCCAACCTTTAATGATGATCTTCTGTAAGGGGAGGGAACTCTCATCAGTGCTACTTCTGCATCTGCTTACTTGGATTATATCTCTTTTGTGTATTGTATGATACCTTCATATTTGTCTCCTATGCCAGACTATGAACTCCTAGAGGCAATTTTTTTCATATTTTTATTGCCAGAGTTCAGTACCATGTCCAGCACATGGTCTATGATCAATAAATATTGTTTCGAATTAACAAAATCTTATATTCCTATTTCTTGACTAAATAGACCTGCAGCGTGACTGTAATATATTCAGCATCTTAAATACATCTATATTCAAGAAATTCTAGTTGTCCATACCTCAAGCTCAAGGATCCTCAAATTGAAGAATACAGCAGAATCACTGGAGAAAAACACTTATTTCATGCCACACTTCTAGAGTTTCTGATTCAGTAGGTGCAAGTCGGTCCTAGCAATTTGTATTTCTAGCCAACTCCTAAGTGATGCCATTTGTGGTTGTCTGGGCACCGCACTTTGAGAGTCACTCCCTTAAATCTATATGGAATGTAATCTATGTCGATAGCATTTTTATCACAATGAAAAACTAATGTGTGTTTTTTTTCAAGACAATCTTAAATGTTGCCCTTTATCTCACCTTTAACACTACTCTTAAGGTTGTGTCCAACCCCAATACAGACCCTGATGCCTGCTATACTTAGCACAATCTCTACATTTAAGTTTAGTTTACCTTGCCCCTGGCCCCGAGTACCCATCGATTGTATAATTTACAGATAAAAGAGAAAGAATCCAGTTTGAGAGAAGAACGTGAATCTAACCAACATTTCTTTTTGGAGTCCCATCCATCTTTGTTTAAAATCTTATTTGTATCCATACATATCTCTGAATTTTTAAAGTCTATTTTTAGAGGAAGAGAATTATTAGTTAGCCTTTAAATTTTAAGCATTGTAATGTCATTGCTGTGTTGTAATTTGAGTCATATTTAGTCTATAACACTCCCCTTCAATCTCAAATCCCAATATTAAAGTCTACGGCTGATAATTTAAAACAAACACACACACACACACACACACACACACACACACACACACACACACACACAGAAAAGAAAAAGAAAGAGCCAGAGCAAATATTTTTTAATGAGGTACCCTGGTTCTGAAGACTGTACCTATAAATGTACAGAAATTAGAAATACAAAAGATGGTTTTAAATAAATAAGTTAGAAGAAATTAAAACTACACTCTTAATTATAGTGGATGGATGATAACTTTCCTAACACTGATCCTTTGTTATGCTCTCATCAAAAGACTTAGCTTTGCAAATGTCTTCCAACATCTAGACTTCCTTCTAGTTCATTACAATATAGGCATGAAAATCTAACAATGTTGCAAAGTGCCAGTCTAGCATAGCTCAGAGCACCAACCTGAAGCTGAAGGTAGAGTTCTGGAAGAAAGGAGGATTGTCAAACTTCTTGAGAGACAGACAATCTTGTATCTCTTTTAAGGTTGGCAGTTTCTCACTGTTTCTTCCCACTCTATTTCTTCTCAACAAACCTTCATAGGTTCCATTACACAGGGTGACTCGGTTGTTGTAGTCATCTAAGCTAAGTTTGTAAGGAGATTAAAAATAATATGTCTTAATGTGTAGGTAGTATCATAACTTTGGCCTAAGAAAACCAATGAGAGTCACACCATAAAATTTGTTATAGTTACCTTACAAGGGTCAAAAATATGTGGTGAAAGTACTACCTTCAAAAATAATTATGGATTAAAGAGTTTCAAAAACAGAGATGCAAAAATATGATATATGAATAAATATGCATAATAATGACCATTCCACCGGAAAGACAATAAGTGGATTACAGGGAAGATGGTGACTCCTATTACGTGCATTTGAATCTTGAGTAACTGAAGAGAGAATAAGATGACGAGTATTCTACTGAGCTAAGCCAGTTTTGGTAGAAGGGCCTATGTAAAGCTAGGAATGCATTTTACGCAAACTAAAGGCAAATAGAGGTGGTCAGAATGAAAACAGATAAAATAATATGGAGTAGGGGTATTAGGACAAATGCTGTATTAGAAAATGTACTAAGGTAGTAGATAGAAATGGTTACACAGTAAACATGGAGGCTGGGAAAGTTCCGTGCCCATAAAGGATTATATTCTACACGTCTGTTGTGCCTTGAAATTCCATCTTCAAAGAGTTATTTCATTGACAGAGATAAAATTTTAAAGCTGTCTCTGTGTGAGTTTTAGTGAGGGGATAGTACCTGGCATGTGAGAATAGAATCAGCATACACACGAGGATGAAAGAGGCCAGTACCTAAAACTGGGGGGAAAAAAGCCTCCAAGGCAGCGTTTCTCAAGCGTGTTCCAGTGAGATGGTCTGTGAAATAAGGGTGCCAGAGGCAGATAAGTTTAGGCCCCTCTTGAAGAATGATAATATGCTTAAATAAGAAATGCCCTGAGTTTTTCTAAAATAAAAATAATAAGAATAATAAAAACTTTGAACTCAGTATTCCCTAAATTTATTTGATCACAGAAATTTCTTTTTACATACCACCTATTAATACCTCAAGGCATTATGAGAAATGGTGCTTTGTGGAATTACGCTAAGTCACAGGGATGCATTTGTTACATCCCTATGTAGTGTGGAGCGCTATCTAGAAAAGCTTGGGATGTAGAAGATGGAATCTCTGCTAGGTAAGCCTATAACCCTGAAAACACGCACATGCCCAGCCTCAGGGGTACGACAGAGGTTCTCTGCCGTGGAGTAGTCAAAAGAGACAGGACAGGGGAGCTAGAGGAATTGGGTTAAAAACAGGATTTTGGAGGAAACAAGTAAATAAAGGAAGGCAAAGGAACCTCTTGAGGAATCTTTTTCTGAGATGTGTGCCAAGAAGGAGAAACAAGTTCAAGGAATCACTGAGGACAGAATTCTTCAGGGGCCACAAGTGTTCACCTGCTTCTGTGTTCTTTAGTACTCAGAGCTCATTCTCCCACTGCCCCATCTCTGTGCCTCTCAACTCCCAGCACCCTGTGGCTCAGCCATAGCAGACTGCTTCCAGAGACTTTCCTGGCTTCATACATGATGTTCCCTTCACCTAAGACACACTCACCACACTCCCCTAACTGGTTGAGGTCTGTATCCTTAAAGTCTCAGAATAGCTGTCTCCACCTCTTAGAGCCTTTCCCTGACTCTCTTCTTGGCTTTGCACATACATCTATTATGATACTTTTCAGGTTGTATTATAATTTGTTTATAAGCAATTCATCTTTGTAAATAGAAAACAATATTCAAAAGGGCAGCTATATTTTACTCATTCTTATATTCCCAGCACTACTACACTACTGAGAATATGACTGGTGGTTAAGAAATGTTGGCTGAATGCAGGAACTACTAATTTTAAAACAGTTGATATCAAAATGATGACCAAGCATATTCAATTCACAGATGTGACTTTCATACTTCTATTTTTTTATTAAAGAGCTTAGAAGTTTTAAAAGTCCCATCTCCCCCAGAAAAATCATTCTCAGAAACATATAAACAGAACCAAAAATGCATTAGAAACAAATAAAGAGATTCTCTACCTCTCAGATATAAGAAAATATGTCCACAGATATTTGTTGAGTGGATCAGTGACTGAAAATACATACTAAAATTGTTCTTTAAAAAACAAACAAAAAACTCAGAAATCCTTTTCCTAGGCATATGCCCAATGTAAAAGAATACTTACGTTTACCAAAAGATATGTACTAGACTAACAGCAGAATTCATAATAGCCCCAAACTAGAAACTAGCCCAAAGCCTGGTGATGGTTGAATGAATAAAAGGTCGTGGTCTATTCCATTGAATGCTATAAAGCAATCAACAGCTACATGCAACAATAAGGATGAATCTCACAAATAAAATGTTGAACAAAATAGCCAGACATAGAATTACTGTGATTCCATTAACACAAAAGTCAAGAACTGATAAAACTCATTTTTGCCATTAGTAGTCTAGATAGAGGTTACACTGGGAATTGGGGGAGAGTGACAAAGGGAGAATAAAGGGTTTCTCGTTTCTCAATCTGAGTGTTGGTCACATGGCTATGTTTAGTTTAGGAAAATTAAGCAAGCTGTACACTTACATGTACTTTGCTATATTATGGCATACAGCAATATAATTTTTTAAAAAAACAAGAAAGAAAACATGGTCTCTGGATTTCCATTCCAGGTACAGATGCGATTACCTATTACAGACAATTTCCCAGCTGGAGAATCTTGAGTTCTGACTAATCAGAGTCGGATCATCTTGCCTTGCTGCCCCGAACAGTTGGTCTGTACACACATCACACTCGTTCCTCCCAGTGGCAAAGTTCCAGTAGGGCAAAGCGAAGGACTCATTGCCAATAAGTCGCTAAAAGCAAAGGGCATACCTAGTCATTTAATTTGTGCCATCAGATACAACACAAAACCATACAAAGCGAAGACTGGTATGGGTCTTCACCAAAGGTATAGCAAATTTTAAAGAAACAAAGGTATAATTTTCACCAACCTGGAGATCTCTTTCCAGCCACAACAAATGGTACCGGTGCCAGGTGACAAAGGCAGGTCCTTGGTGTGAGAAATCTATGGCCTTGTATGGGCGCCCTGGTCCTAAAACAATTAGGAAACTAATTAGACACCACAGAATAGAGTGTGGTTTTGTTTTTGTTTTTGTTTTTTTTTTAATGTTAAACCTTACCTGGAATGTATTTGCAAAGCCAATAAGCCAACAGTTTTTCAGTTTGAAAAAAATAAAGTTTTGTCATTTATCTCTCTGAAAGCAACATCAACAACAAAACAATTTCAGTAGCAACTAGCACTTTTAGAAAAAATTCTCTTTCATCTCTTGAAACTTTGATTGTCAACAGGAACCCAGAGAAACTAGGATCATTTTGAGCCTTTAAGAACCCCTGTTTTATATTTAACTTTAAGCAATATTTCATTAAAATAAAATCAGAGTATCCAAAGAAATAGATCTCTAAGACCTAAATGGAATATATTTTAAAAGACGTTTTCTAACATATTTCTTACAAACGCACACATTTATAAGAGAGGGATTAATTAAGACTAAAGAATAAAACTAATATTGCATTTAGTCCTAATTCTGCATTTATATAATCTAGAAAAAACTTTCATGGATTTTGCCTCTGCCATCAATCAGTTACAAATACTAGCTGATAACCATGGTCGCCCAAGACTAGAAAAGAGAAAAATACATTCAAACCAATTTGGCTGGCCACTGGAACTGCCAATTTTAGTGAAAAGCTTTGGGCAATTTAATGACCTCCTTACTGCTTGTTCCATCCTTCTGCCCCTTTTCATAACAGCTTTTGATGGTTATGTAGAAACTTTAGCTAACTTTAGTTCTTTTTCAAAGTACCTATAATAATTTCAGAGAACTGAACAGACATGAATATAAATTTAATTCCTGGATACGACCAGAAACTATGGTTTTCTTTTCCTCTTGAGAAAGTAGCCTCTCATAAAGCAAAAATTCCTCAGAGTCATGACAGGAAAGCTATAAAGGTTTATAGTTAGAAGAGCCACCTTATCTATCGACAAAGACAAATGCTTACCTGGGAGGCAAGTTTTTAAAAGACTCACCCTGAGGAAAGAACTGCTGTCACTGCTGTTGGCCACACAGTCCTTTTAAAATGTTTTAATCCAGAACAAAGATTTAAAATTTTCAAAACAAAATGATGAGAGGGAATAATATTGTATGTCAACTGTCATTGAAAAATGTTTGATTCAATAAAATAAACAAATAAAAATTTAAAGTTAAAAAAAACAATGAGGGAGAATCAAGTGATAGGGAACCGATGATAAACACAAGAACAGACAATTCCAAATGAGAATGGGACTATTCAAAGTGAGCTTGATGTCCTTACTCACCCTGACCCCACTGAGGGGCCCCTAAAGAGGGGATAATTGCAGGTATAGTCGAGGGTTCAGAATTACAGTGAGCAGAACCTGGAATGGAGTCAAGTGCTCCTGGAACAAACAGGTTATGGCTTTCCCCTGCCTGAGGATGAAGCTGGGCTTACTAGACTAATGAAGTTCCTAACAGACAAACCCCATTCCAAGTCTTACCTAGGCCCCAAATTTTAGGAACCAAAAAAGCAGGAGACCATTTTCTGAAGCATCAAACGTAACTATGGTTCAAAAGGGCTAAGCCAGGAGGAACTCTACATTGCAGTGACTCAGCTTATGCTTTTTCCTGATAAAACAACTAAAAACAAAAACAAAAACAAAAAAACCCTGGAGATCCCAGCAGTGCATGCGCACCATAAATGATGACCCGAAAGTCTAAAGACTAATACATGTGAGCTTAATGAGATACTTCTAACACAAACACTCTAAGTCTGCCCAAAGATGTTTCATGTGCTTTAAGCATATGTTCAGTTAATTCTTCTAATTTGAAGAAAAGGTCAGAGAGGGCTTCCATGTCAAGATTTAGAAATGTTTTCTTCTGGAATCAAAAGTAATTTGCCTTCACTTCCCCAGCTCTTGCTTTTGAGGATTAATAGCTTCATAGAGAAGAGTTTAAACTTTGAATTTAAAACACAAATACAGGAGAGAACATTTTCAAATGTCTGCAGACAATGTACAGGAAGAAACTGCTCCATCCTAACCATAGGCAACATTTGATAATTCTGTGACTTTTCACAAACCTAATCCTTCAGTTTATTCTCTTGTTAATTAACTTGGCCTGAAATCACTTCCCACCCATTTATCCTCTAACCCAAACCTATAATAGTATATATTAATCTATGAGAAAAACTCACCTAATAATGTATCTCTAACAGAATAGTAATGGAGCCACACAAAGAAATCATAAATGCTGCAGTTGGCAATCTGTGGCTGGGTTCGATTGGGCCCAAGCAGGCCCAGCCAGTGTTGTGTAGTGATCACGTAGTCGGGGTGTATGGTCTTCTTTGCGAGGTCTAAGGCACCCAAGAATTGCTCCCTCTCCTGAGGAGTCAAGGAATGGATGTTCTGTCGAACAACTGGTGGTTTCTTTCGATCGCAGTTGAGGCCAATCCAGCCAAACTTGCAGCCTCCACAGTTATAGCCAGCAAAATTTCCTAGTATGTTTTAAAAAGGAGGGAGAGGGAGAGATAGAAGAAGAAGTAAGTTTATGTAGTTAGGAAGAAATTTCTATATTTGAACTTTGGAGTAGAATGCAAAGACGATGAAGGTGCTTACAAGAGGGCGAACAAAGCCAATTTCCTTCCCTTAATCTCCTCTTGAAAAGTTTATATCTCAAAGTGAACTGAACATTAGAAAATTGCCTAGAAATTTTTCCTGCAAAGAAACAGGATATGAAATGTATTACATGCTGTTATGGTCTGAACTGTGTCTCCCTCAAAATTCATATGTCAAAGTCTTAACCCCCAATACCTCCAGATGTGACTATATTTCAAAATAGGGTCTTAAAAAGAGGTAACTGAGGTTAAATGAGGTCATTAGGGTGGCCCTTAATCCAGTATGACTGGTATCCTTATAAGAAGAGGAAATTTGGACACAGAGAGTTATAGAGAGAAGATCATGTGAAGATGAGGAGAAAACAGCCAAACCTACCAACACCTTGCTTTTGGACTTCAGGCCTCCAGAACAGTGAGAGAATAAATTTTTGTTGGTCATCCAGTCTGCAGTACTTTGTTACGGTAGCCCCAGCAAACTAATCCCATGCTGTGTTCTACATTCTCCTTACTCTCATGGGTCATGCAGGGGGTTCCTTCCTACATCCTCTCTACACCCCCACTTGTGACTAAGCAGCAGCCATGATGTCCACACTGCTGAGCCCTGCTGTCCTGTGGCACACACTGAAAGGCTGACACAAATTGTTCATTGATTTACAGAAGGAAGAGAATATATACCAATCTAAAGGTGGAACCAAAATATATAAGCTGATATCTAGGAATTTAAGTGATATCTAACATTTAAAAAGCTGGTTTATTTCACAAAAGAGACAGAGTTAAGATAAAAATCAATGGAGGATGACAGGTCATAAAGGTGAATTAGCTGCTGTGGTGTCAGGAAGTGCAAATCACTGCAGGTTCCTGCGGCTGCACAAATGTCTCTGCTCTATCAACCCAGGGAATGAGGACTGGTCATTATCAAGCCCTAAGCATTTTTCTGATTAACGCCAAAGTTTTAATTATTTTCGCTTAGCTTGACTTTTCCCTTCTTAATCTTGTGTTGTTTTTAGTATGGCCAGCACCTCATTTCTTAGATGGTAGTAAGATAGAGAGTAACAATTAAATATTACTGGAGTGAAACGTTGAAACAAAAAAGGAATAATAATCCCTATCTCCTAGGGACTAAGAGGGGTTATGGAAAGCATTCAACGTGGGTGACCAGCTCCTGTGCTATCTCCTCCTCCTCCTCCATCTCATGTTTCCAGACATTTTACTTGCTCTTCCTTCTGTCATTGCCTGGTTACCTACTCCTCCTCCTTTAAGCTTCACGATGGGTCCTCTACAAGGTCATCCTTGATCCCCCACATCGGGGGCAGATACTCCCATTCTATGCTCCCATTGTACTTACTATTCCCCCTTCACTGCATTTATTGCACAGACTGTAAACTTCTACTTGTCTCAGGTACAGGCAACTGCGAGGCAGTTATCCTGCAGCAGAGTCTTGTGCTTGGCCTGGTGCAAAATGAACATTCATTGAATAAATGAAAGAAATGTAAAGCTGAATCTCTATGACATACACTTTAAATATTTTACAATTTTATTTGTCAGTTATACCGCAATAAAGCTGAAGTTTTTTTAAAAAATTAATTTAAAAAAGAAAAAAGTATGTCGACTATCTAACTAAAAAAGTTAAAAAAAAATTTTAAAGGAGTATAAAACGTCCAGCAGATAATTCAGTAAACATAAATTTTCTTCTTCCTTTTTCTTCCTGTCCTTGTGGATTAAAAGGAAAAGTTTGTCCTGTAAACTATATGCACTAAGATAAAGGTAAGTGAAAAATATTATGACTGTAGTAAGAGAGAGGGCTATTTGGATCTCTAAAGAAAATGTTCCAATGGCATGAAAACAAAACGATGAGCATTTGTGCACTGTAAAGAAAATACTCAGCCCTTCTTTTCTATTAACTCACTAGATTTTTTTGATAAAGAAAATGCCCTTAAAAATGTCATAAGTAGGAAGAATTTTTCAAAAGTAATTGGTTATTTTCATTCTATGCTCTTTGTCACATGCAAAATAGTCTATCTATCCTTATATAGCTCAATTATCTGTATTTTCCTGTTTCAACACTGTATGAGAACAAAAGTAAAAAAAAAATACTTAAAAGGGGTTAAACATTAAAATTTGTATTGATTATTGGAATGAAGCTATTAAATACAAATTATTTAACAAATAGTTATTGTGCAGCTACTATGCAAGGTGCTTCAGGCTTCATGGAGTTTGAAGTCTGTTTTCCATTAAGGTACCTACTAAAATTGTACATTAACTATTTTAAAAACATTTTTGATTTAAATATGTCACCTACTCTGACAGCTTTTAAAGGAATAAAGCATTTTTTGAGGAATGATTGAATAAAATGCATCTGAAGAATACTAAACACTCAAACTCCCAGCTGCTTACCTATAGCCAGATAATTGGAGGGTGAATGTATAGTCGCAGCTCTACAATAAAAAAGCAATCCCTTCCTTCAAAATGCTAAGAAATAGCATACCTAAATTTTGTAATAATAAATTCATGTATTTCTACATTTAAAGGCATAAGACTTGTCTTTGAATTTGGGGGTCTCATTGTTGAAACTGAGTAATTTATCATGAGTTTTAAGATTCCTGTGATTTTTTTAACCACAATTCTTTTTTGTTACTAGAAACAAAATTATCAATAACTGATTATCTCCCTCACTCATTTATTCAACAAATAATTTGTTAACACTACTACCTAAACTGTAGTCAAAACCAAGCATGCCTCTCACTGTGCTCCTACAGCTTTATGTACATTCACAAATTGCCACACTTAGTAACTTTGGCCTTCACCTCTCAGAGACTGTCATATTGGGATAAGAGTTCTACTGGTAGACTTCTTATGTAAAACAAGCATGTTAATACATTAGAGCACTAAGAACAGTGCCTGGTAACATATTAAGTTCTATATTGTTATGATTACTAGTATTACTAAATTCTTCTTATCAAGTAGTATCGTGTAAGTGTTAGTTTTCATAGCTGTCTTACTCATCCACCCCACTGTGGACACATTAAAGATCAGGTCATGTATTTTTCCCCTTTATACCTGAAGGTCCTAACATAATTGGTGTTAAATAAACATCGGATGGGTATGATGAAGGAATCCATGAATAATTGAATAAAAGGCATTAGGCACCAGAGGATGCAGATGTAAGTAAGGCACAGTATCTTCATCTAGGGGAGATTAGGGACACGGCACAATGAAATACCAACACATGTCTAACTGTGGAGGAAGTGAAAACAGAAGAATAAACCAAGCAGTGTGGATAACAAAAGTCAAAATGATTAAGACTCAGAAAACCAGAGATGCTTCACAATTATGTTGAATGAAGATATCTCTTCACAAAGCCAGAGTTGTCCCTGAAAAGCAGTGTAGAAGTACTAATAAGAAAGCATCTGTTTGAATTTAAACTCACCTGTGACCCAGAAATGTATTCCATTTAAAAAAAATTTACTTTTCCAACAAGTCTCAGAGAAAATACACCAAAGCTTTGCAATCAGATCTTTTTCATTTTTGAGCTTCTAAACCTGATCTCAAGAATTTGGTAAAATATTGAAGGTAACTGAAAAGTGCAACAATGTGAAACCTTAGCACTCAAAATATTTTTTTTTAATAGTTCCTTACATCAACAGAATATGAATTAATTTTTTTCCTTAATCCACCAATAGCAGCAGAGAAAAATATAAGAAGAGGGCCCTTTTAGAAAGAATTGCATTATCTCACTGGGGAAAATAAAGGGTACCTAGATATCAATCTATTATTGAGCATGTCCTTGAGCAAAAATTAAAATTAAAAACAAAGTCTGATACCTACTTAGGATTGGGATAAAAATGGAAAGAGTAAGAACAACCAAACAATGCATGTTTCCACACGAACTGCAACAGTTCAACCTCAGAAGGCTATTAGACTAAATAAGCTTAAAGACCGCCAATTAGTGAATTTACAAGGAGCTGTAAAAGGCCTACTCCTTTTCATTAGAGATTCTATTATTTTAATAACAATACTTTATGCTCACATAGGGCCTTTCATCTACAAAGCTCAAAAGAATTTTACAAGTGTGGTTTCATTATTATCCCCATTTCAGAGATTGAAAAATGGAAGCTCCTAGTCACTTGTACAAACAAGAAGTTCTCAGACAACTGTTTAAAAATTATTTGGTATGCATGTTTTTCAAAAGTCCAAAGACATAGCTGTGACTGGTTATTCTCAGAAATGCCAACTAACAGGTAGTAAAGTGAGGCTAAGTCTCCTGAAATTCAACTCTTTCTGACCATTAAATTCAGTAATTTTTGGTTTCAAATTATCCCCACAGAGAAGAGAGAAGGTCTCTCTAGAAAATTTGAGCATATAATTTATGGGTACTTTTCCCCCTGAGTTTGCATTTATTTCAATTTAATAGACTAAAATCTTTTACCAACTTCAAGATCATGAAGACTATGATGTGTTTATTTTTTTAATGTTTTTATGATAAGAATACGTAACATGAGATCTACCCTCTTAACACATTTTTAAGTGTATGATGCATTGTCGTAGGTACAAAATAGCACTCTAGAGCTAATCTTGTTTAACTGAAACTTTATGCTGGCTGATTAGTAACTTTCCATTTCCTTCTCCAAGGCCCCTGGTAACCACCATTCCACTCTGATTTCATGAATACGACTAATTTAAATACTTCATATAAGTGGGATCATGCATTGTCTTTCTGTGACTGACTTATTTCCTTAACATACTCTGCTCCAGGTTCACCCATATTGTCACATATTGCAGGATTTCCTTCTTTTTTAAGGTTGAATAATAACCAATTACACACATATATGCCCCTTGCCTAGGATGTGGAAAAAAGGGAACTCTTGTGCGCTATTGGTAGGAATGCAAAATGTGCTGCCGCTATGGAAAACACTATGGTAGTTCCTCAAAAAAATTAAAAATAGAACTATCATATGATCTAGTAATCCAAATTCTTGGTATTTATCCAAAACAATTAAAATCAGGATCTTGAAGAAATACTGATATCACCATGTTCATTGCAGCACTATTCCCAAGTCGAGATATGGAAACAACCTAAATGTCCAAATGAATGGCGCATTTGTTTTTTCACTGAATGAACAAAGTTCAGGGTCATCAACCATCTGGTTGCTAAAAGCTAATCTACACTTTTTCTTTAACAAATCTTGGTTGACCTCAAAGGAATCCCAGGAGTCCTATTTGCAAAAGAATTATGAGGCTATCAGAAAGGAAGGCTTTCGGGCATTCAAGATCAGTTTTAAATTCTGAAGACTGCCTCCTAAACCGTAAAAAAGCTACCCTAGGAAGGCAAGCAACTCATTCTTTAGAGAAAATACACTAAAAGAAATGGATCTTGCTTTGGGACATTTGACACATCACAGTGACTATTGCATGTACTAAATAACTTTCCAGTTCAGTCACTAAGGACTTAGTCTGGTGCCCTGAGACTCAAAGAAAAAAACCATTTGGCCAACGTAAGTGGAGCCATCCAAAGTTGGGACGGAAAGAACTATGGTCCTTAATGGGTCTAGACAGGTCAAATCATGGAGGAGGGTGAGTCGTAGCCTGGTAGTGGGTCTCAGGGGGGCAATCATGGCCTTGACAATGGCTGGAAATGGATACCATACACCCTGAGAGTCACTGTGACCCTAAATTACTGTCGCTTCTAGAAAAATATTTATAAGTATTTTCTCAGAAAAAAATAATAATACAATTATCCCTTCTGTTCCTTCAGTCTCTAGTCTTTCCATCCCTATCTTAACCAAACAAACAAACAAACAAAAAACACACCTGTTACCCAGGTCAAAAAGATAAAGTAGATAGTGATGAGTTAACAGTTGTACCTGATTTCCTAATATCTTCTGCCTCAGGATTCTATAAAATGGAGATTTCCAACCTTTGTAAGTTATGACATTGAATAACTTGAAAATAAGTGCTGTAGAAGAGTTTTTGAGTCATGTGTTGTGTGGTTTCCAATCACACAAGTAATGTGAAACTTGTTGCTTCACATTAGACTGAAAAGCCATGAGAATCTACAACATAATGTCTATAGAAGCAAATGCTCGACTAGCTTAGAAAAAAATGGATCGTATATATTTGATATGCTATTAAAAATTTCTTGTCACAATTAATACCCAAAGCAAAACTAACAGTTTCTTTTAATCACAGAATTAACAATATGACCACAAAATGATTATAAAGCCAGAATTTTTTTTAAAGTTTTAAAATATCTAACATCATTTCTACATTAACATCACAGCCCTTTGTTCCTTCCCTTAGTTTATTTTTTATACCCTTACGTAGCTCAATTATCTGTATTTTCCTATGTTCCGGCTTTATATAAGAACATAAGAAAAACATAATTTAAAAAGGAAAAACTCTTATGCAGCTGGACACTGTAGTACAGTGTCCAAGGGCTTTGCTAAAGTTGCCGCTTATGTTTTTTGTGTTTTAAATGCCCTGCATGGCGGTTTATAATCGCCGTGCATGGCTGTTGAACACTGGAGGGGAGTCCTGCCGAAGAGGATTTGAGAAAGCTCAAAAGAGCCAGAGGAATAAGAAATGCACAGAGATTTCAAAGAAATGGGTAATAAGAGAGATCAGGCCTAAAAGAGGACACGGAGCAAATTCTGAAATGCTCACATCAAACCCGGACAAGAGTGAAAAAGGACATTGTTATCTAATACAATCCTCCATTTTCCAGTTCCCTGAGGAAGCTTTGTCCTGCCACATCTCCCCAACTTTGTCGAAGATACAACCCAGGCATAACCTTAACAGGGAAGATGTACCCCGCTCGAGACCTGTTCAAATCATTAGAAATTATGAAACTAGAACTCGGAACATCTGCCTTTGACGACTGCCTTCTAGATGCCAACTTCACACACCTCCCTCTTCAACAAGTGCAGACCCATTTCAGGAGAGGGCACCAAATACTTCTTGAAAGAACTGGCTCTGGGTTTCAAAGCTAGCTCTTGAGCTCTTTAGCTTCTCTTCCAACAAACAAGCCACTGGTATGCTGGCATGAGCACATATAGCCAGGCTTGAGCCAAGTAATATTAATTTAGTTTTCATAACTAGATGTACTAGAGGATGTGAAGAACATAACCAGGACGTCAGCCTTACTCAATTCACTGTATGAAAAAGAAACATGGTTTGCCTTTCAAAACCTAGTCTAACAGTCTCAAGAGTCCCATCTCTTCCTTAGAAGAGACTCCTTTCCCCGCTGGGCCCTCCCCAGCAAGCTCGAAGCAGGCCAGGTCTCCCCACACGGGTATCCCTCACCTGTGCACTTGCAGGTCCGATTGAAGAACTTCCGTGGCCACCGTTCTCGGTCATCCTGGTTTCGCAGGACGTAGGGACCACCCCAGGGCCTGGTGTCTGTCTGCACCTCCGTGCACTGGCCTCGGCCCGCCTGAGAGCCACAGACGTTGCCCGGCTCCGCACCCAGCGGCGGGCAGCACTCCTTAGACACGAGGTTGTCCATCGTCATGCAGACCCGGGGAAACTGCGCCCAGACCCCAGGCAGGATTCCACAGCTCAGGCAACTGAGCAGAAGCCCCCATCGAAGGGGGCTCATCGCTTTATAATGGGGAGAACGCTTGCTTTCCTTACTTCTATCCTGTTTTCTTCTCATCTTCCACTCTTGAGCGTTCACTCAGTTTCGATTTTTGGTTTTAGGGAGGTTTTTTTTTTTTGTATATTTTTGGTTTACGTTCTAGTTCCTCTCCTCTTTAAAAAATGCCCACAAAATTTAGGACCCACGCATGTGCATGTGTGTACATGCACATGCACAGACTATTTTATGTGATCCAAGCAACTAAAACAAATTTAATTCCATTAGAGGTGCCTCTAACAACTAGATTTAATGAAGACAGCGCTTCTCGCCGTCTTCTCCCCCGTTAAGTCAGGTTTTGTCTAATTGAATTAATTTGCAGAGCACTCCAGTCATACTACTTATTATGCTGGTATTTCTAAGTCCCCCTCCTTTCTTCCTTAGCCCGTGACTTTAATTGCCTCGAACTCAGTTCAAAAGCCAAACACCAGGCTGCTTTTATTCTGTCTGGCTTGCCAAGCCACGAGGCCTTGTGGGGTTTATGTAAGGGCTGGGAGAAGCCATCATTAGAAGGATTAGTGTTAGTGAAATCCTCAGGGTTAACACATGACCCAAAGTGCACAATGAAGTAGATAAAGTTTCTGGCTTTGTTTCAAGAGGGTAAAAGCATCTTCATTATCTGGGCTCATGTGCTCCAGCCAAGCTTGTGACTTCAGACTTCCCAGAGTGTCAATAGACGCAGTGAGCTCGTAGTCAAAGGCCCTTTACAGATGAGCGTGCATTGCTAACTACGGTTCACTCCTGACTGCACAGGACAGTCTGTGCACAGCTATGTGAAACTGGTTCAAACAGTTCCTAAAAATACTTTATAGTAGGGCATAAAGATACAGAATGTTATGTCCCAAAGAGAATTCCTAGGGTTAGAAATATTTTATATAGCTGTTCCCATCCCACGTGCTTCTGTGTCACCCCACAATATTAAGTAGTTGTGACTAATTAAATGGCAGTTCTCAACTCTAACTGTATATCACTGCCAGCCAGTACCCCAAGCCCGCTGAAGCGGAATCTCTGAGGGCGTGGACTGGACCAGCATATTTTATAAGTTCTCTAGACCATTCTAATGCGAACTCAAAGTTGAAATCACTGGGTCAGAATAAAGCACAGCATTATTTCTCTCTCTCCCTCTGTTTCTCTCTCTCTCTCTCTCTCTCTCTCTGTGTGTGTGTGTGTGTGTGTGTGTGTGTGTGTGTGTGTGTGTGTGTGTGTGTGTGTGTGTTTTCACTCT